AGCCAACCCATGGGTTCCAATAAGCTATTGGAATCAAATAGACAAACATATTAACTATCAGATTATTTATTTATTGCTAACATCTGAACCATTGCACTATAGAATTGTGTGTAATTGAAATATTCACTGTTTACTTTTGTGAAGAAATATGTATACGATCGGATTCTATGACGGGAGCACCTTATATTTTGTACGTAATATTTTAAGGCATTGGTATTTATGATGGAAAGACAACACATTTTGAAGCCGATGTCATAGCATCACATGCACAATTCATAATGATGCTACAAACGAGTTGTTTTTGATTATAATTACTAGAAATGTCTATTATTCTTCAGCAGTAAATAAATTTAGTGGAAACCAATGAGACAGCAAACAAATTCAATATTCGAACATCATATTTATGTGTGTATATTAGAGAAAGTAGTCGAGAACTTTTCAAACACCGACAAAAGCCTATTTGCATCGATGACCCGCTCTTACATGAATATATTACCAAATTGACAAGCTCATATTCAGACAGAAACAGGCTGAACTTTTCAAAGTTGAAAATTCAATCTTGAAGATTATCTTTGAGTCCTTATCCTTAGATATCCGATTGTTGTGCTGCGATCATACGCTAGCACTTTGTTGTAATCAAACACTCTTCGGAATGCGTTCAGTTCCTCGCGTATCTTTCTGATTGTGCTTTTCGCACGACTTTTTTCTAATCGCTACTTATAACTATTGAATTAATAGTTCTGTTTAAAAAAAAAACACAATACTACAAAAGTTCAACTCTTCTTGAAATTATATCCCTTTTGCTTCATTTTTTTAGGAGTGAATTTTATCAATGAATCTATAGATTTTTCCCAGCATCGGAAATTTTTATGTATCTGTCATACATAAGTCTGGGTAGGATAATGGAAAGACACATAACTGAAGATCGTGCAAATCAGGTTTGATCAGTCCTGGTCAGCTATTACGCTTTCCGATTCAATGAATATGCTGCGTCATCAGTTATCAATAGCTTGTAATACAGAACCCAAATCATTTCTGGCAGAGAGATGTTTTTTCTTAATTTTCAAGAAATTTATTATTTAATTATTCAATGCCATGCATGCCTGATTGCATGTAATATCCTTGTGATGCAAATTGTCCCAAGTGGACAAATCATCCTTCCAGACATCATCAAGTGCATAGTTTTTGTCCTTAGCTTCATCTCCAGGCAATCTATCGAAGTTCATGAGAAAACAAATTGTTGTAGTACTTAACTAGAGTTTTTCAAAAATGAAGCCTTATTCGATTCTGAGGAAAGAATGCTAAACAATAATTTATTTTTGATTTTTGATGAACTTCAGACTACGACATAAAAATAGATGCGAAATCAAACACGAGAATTGATTTTAGTCGGACTCGGGCTTCTTTCATTGTATGACATGTAAGTTTGTGATACTTTGCTATCTAAAAAAAAAGTGTTTATTTGATTAATTCGCTTGATGTAATTTATATTGATCATGCCACAGTTTTGTCAAAGATATTCATTAGAAGCATTCATTCATATGTAATTAGAGTAAGAAAAATATTTGTTTGGATATTCTAGTTCATGAACTTCAATTTTCTTTATTTAACAAAAATGTTATTTTTGCTTGATTATTTTAATATTTTTTTCTAGAATGAGTTTAAGGATTATTTGGACACTTCCAATGGTTATCTTGTAAAAAAAAATTAAAATCAATGAAAATCATATAATTTTAATATATACGGTTGTTCGGAAAGTTCGTGCAACTCATATTCTATGAAACCGTACGATAACAAGTGTGGCATTTGTTCAATATAATGACCTTCGCTAGCAACTACACGTCAACGATCACGCACACTGCTTATGCCATTGGAAACATTTGAATAAATGCAGTATTTGTTATTGTAGGGTGTCATAGAATATGAGTTGCACGAATTTTTCGAACAACCGTATATTTCATAGGTTTTTTTCCGAACAATATCAACATTCTTGTTTATTGAGTAATATTTTTCTGTAAAAAAGAAATATTATTTGAGAAATCCAATCCACATTTTTGTTTTATGTTAGTGTTGTACATTGGTCGACATTTATATCAAACTGAGCATATCCGAAATAAATACTTTTTATATCGTATTTTGACAAAAAAGATACAATGAAGCCTTAGACACTCTTGTAATAAAAATGGAGATCATAAAAGCAAAAACCAATGCTTTAGAAATATTTGCGAAGTACACATTTAAGTTAGTAAAAATCTTCATATAATATTCTTCTCAAGTTGATTATATGTTTTCGATTATTGAGAGTTATGAAAATGATCAATAATTATTTATTTAAAAATGGGAAAGTTTTTCTTTTTAACAAATATCATGTAAAACATTTTAAGAATTGTATCAAATACTTAAAATGTATTTGCGAAGTAATAACAATTCATTTTTTCTGTTTCCTTCATCATTTAGTTATATATGCTTACACCATTGTGGTTACCGTTATATCTCACGATCAACGATTCGTAAATGTGCGGAGAATAAAACACCATTTACGAACACGTATTATATTAAAGGAATCGACAATTGGAAAAAAGTTGTGAACTGGGTTTTATGGATTTTTAGGTCTACAATCTCTTGCTTTTACTCGTCGTGCCACATTCTTCATCAGTAATAGTAAAAGTATGTGTAATATTTGGATGTATAGTAAGTGTTCAAGTCGATCTATTACTCACGCTTTGGCTACAATACCTCGTCAATATACGTGTCGTATCTGGAGTACCATTACCAGTAATCATGGTTTCAGTATATATTTTTCTTCTTGATATTATTATGCCGAATTTTAATCAATGTGTTGAGCTCTGATTATTCATCTTTTCGAATTCAATAAAATTTATTATATGCAAGTTAGCAGCAGATTTTTAATTATTTTCAGCTTACATTCGCTGTTGAACCTATGCTGTGCTTCTAGTTACTTGTGTTGGGTCTAGAATTTAATTCGCCATCGACTGGTGTTATGTTCGATGGAAATCATCGAGTAAAGAAAATTGAATTCTACACTAGTACAACTAACAAGAAGGCCAGCATTGATTCAAAAGCGAATGTAAGCAAAACATACTCGTATTCACTGATAAATTTTCATATCTTTATTGAATGAATAAATTGTTATTTTGAAAAAGATGCCTTTAATCAATAATCATTCATTCTGTTGATTGATAGGATATTGCTCAAGATGTCCCATTGAAATGAGAAGAATATCTACTAGCAATTGACAGTTTTCTCTTGATACTTATTTTCGGACAAAACTAACTTATTTATGATAAACTTAAATTAATCTGATCAAATATATAGACTACCATAATCTAGTTTGAACTATCCTATTTCGTATAGTTTTTCTAGCTGTCAACATCAAATATGTGATGTAAAACATGAGTTTATACAAGTTTCAAATTTCAGTCATATATGTTCGATCTGAGTTACCTGAGTTAGTTGATAAAAAAATTGTTTTTGTCGATTCAACATGACTCGGAAATATTTTCGATTGTCGTAGAACTTAAACGTTCGAATGCGAGAGAGAATCACCGCAGATATTTATTTTGTGACGCGATAGTCTTGGGAACCAAAACTTCGAAACTAATTAGTCGTTGAAACGTGAGACCCGAGTATCGAGATTGAACCAACAATTTCTTTTGGATTATTCTCTAAAGCACCTTCGGTTTCCGCAGAGTTAGCTTCCGAAAATTATAAGTTTTCAAGGAGTTTGCGTTCTTTCAAGTTTGAGATAACAAAAACTGAAAGAAAGTTGGATGCAACTCTCTTTGCTTATACATGAAACAGCTGTAAATGCAGCTCATAATAGGCAATGAATCATAGGAATAACTAAGCTATCAATCGAAAGTGTTCTTTAGAAACATGTCGATACGCTTTGATAGAGTTCCTGTAGTAATAAATTTTATTATGGCTATTTTTCAAATTGATGTCAACTTTGATCAGGTGATTGATGGAAACGAATGTTCTTGATTTACAACGACTGAGAGAAACGTCTAAATCTAATATAGCTTAAAAAACTTGATAAAAAACAACACTCGACATTGATCCCAGAATCAATAATTCGTTTTTTATCAGATATTGGTTTTTCCAAAATATTGACCTTTCGTGCTTCGCAACACGTTTTCTATTTGAGAGAATCTTGAATACCATCTGGCTTCAGATGATTTCTCCTTCCACACGTTTATGTAGTTCATCATCATATTTAATAAAACATCAATGGGATCCAATTATTGATGATGATTATCTTCGTTTACCAAAATTTCAAATAATGATTGTTGCTAGGATCAAACATCGTCATGTCATTTAACATCAGATATTCTTTCTTTTATTAATAATATTTATCCATGGAATAATTCTTTAAAGCATGTTAGAAGAATTTATCAATATGATAATCATTCAGATATATTTTTCTTTCTCCACTAGAGTTTAAAAATCCTATTGAAAAAATTCAATTTGAGAAATATTTTGATTTAGAAAACAGTAATTGATTTTAAGAAGATATTTAGAGAAGAGTATTCTTAAATAATCATAATTTCCAAAGATTAAATACTGAACATTTTTGTTTATAAATAGTTTAAGTCTATCCGATGGAAAATGTTCGAGATATTGAGATTTTCAAGCAAAACAAAGACAATAAGATTCTTCAAAGTTTCATGGAGAATCTGTTTAGTAATAATATAATATTTAAATAAATGTATGTTGATGATGTAAAATAAAGTTGCGATTGTCTTGTTTGTTAAATGATTAAAATAAAAAAAAAAATAACATTATTTTCTAATCGATATTCATCAAATATATGAATTCATCGTCGATTTAGTCTTTCATTATCAAATCGAAATGTTTTTAAAAGTTTATATAATCATTTTCAATAAGCCCGAAAAGCAAAAGAAGCTGCACAACAACGTGAACTTAATTTAGATAAATTAATAGTTGAATAACAATTTAAATTAAAACTAATCTTAAGAATGCAAAGTGCATTTCGTGTAGTCAATATTGTAATGGGTTTAATGGCAGTAATAGGCGCTAGTGTTTGGTATAAACGGCGTAAAAAAAACATGAAATAGAAAAAGAAATAAGTAATTCTTTAAAACCAAATAGGATGGATTTAAAATACTTTAAACATAAAGGTACAATTATTGGAAATTATTTATTACCTGAACAAATTGTTGGAAAATTCGATCAATTAAAATATTTTCAATTTAATAAAAATGATTTAATTTGTGCATCGTTTTCAAAATCAGGAACAACATTAATACAAGAAATTGTTTAATTGATTCAAACTGATTTTGATTATTCATCAGCAAAAAAAATTGATATTTCAGAAAGATTTTCTTTTCTTGAATGATCAACTGTTCAACTTCACAAACTTTCATCAAATTAAACCAATAAAGCAAGATTTTTTAAAACACATTTACCACCAGAATTTTTTAGTCAAACTTTTCAAAAAGCGAAAGTAAAATAAAATAGTTTTTAAATAAAAATAAATTTTTATTTGTAAGGTAATTTATGTTTACTGAAATCCAAAAGATGTAACTAGAATATGATAAATGGTATCAATAAGTATGGAAACCAATATTTGATATTGGAAATAATGAATAGGGTGTGGGTGTATGGGTATGTGCATATGAGATAAAACCAACGACACCCACATACCCACATCCACACTCCACACCCACACCAACGCCCACACACCCACACCCACACCCACACTCTTAACTCTTGCATTAGTTGAATCAATTCATGGAACATCAAATAATAATGATGATAAAACATTAATTAATGATTTTTCATCAGTAATGAAATTAGGGTGTAGTTGTGGATGTAGGTATAGATGTGAGTGTGGCTGGAAGATAAGACAAGAGGTGTACCAACCTCCTAATTCACCCAGCTGAATCTGCTGTAATCCTATTGTGATCAATAAATGCCAAGGTGACTCTAAAACCTAACTTTCTCAAAAAGCCAATGATTGTATAACAAAGCTTGTTATCGTAGTCGCTTCGAGACTTAAATGTGGAACTCACATGTTTTATTCAGTAGAAAAACAATATGCCTTGTTTATTTTTGCACTTTGAAAAGAATTTTTGTTTTTTTAGTGGTTATCGGATAATAATATTTTGGCTAGAGAGTAAATATTGGTATTGGATGATGTGTAAAGACCGATCCGTAGAACATGATCCAAAAACGACAATAAGCATGCTAATTTATCAAACTGTTTTACGTCATCCATTGGTTTACTAATATTATTCCATTCATTCATCTACATCTTAGAGAACAAATAAAAGAAAACATTACAAGACTGCCAGCATATTTAGAATGGAGATTCAGCAGATACAATAAACATGTATCACTGACATTCGATGACTTCTCACTTTCAATTTCAAATAATTGATCAGTTTTGTCTTGTAGCACAGAACGTCATTCTGCAACGTTATATATGCATCGTGAAATGTTGTAGGGAAAACAAAATTTTCCATTATTTATATGAGTCTTCAATAGAATATGACAAGAATCATAATCTATCTTCAATTTTTAATAGAATACTATGTTGGTTCGAAGCGAAGATCCTTATCAATATAGGATTTCAATTTTACTCCGTTAATTTTCTATACTGAAACTCACCCAACACATCTACAAGTCAGTGAGAAGTTTTCTCTGATAAATAACTTGACGGTGAATATTAATGAGGAGAAGATTGTTCGACATTCATTCTTACAGAACTACGACACAAGACGTACGGTATGTTACTCTGTGATATTGTAAGTCAGACTAACTAAAGCTTTCAAAATAAAAAAAGTTAGTCTTTCAGGAAAAATGTGACACCTCAATGGTGTTCTTTTATTTGACGTCATAAAGAAAAATAACAAACTTTATATGCTCTTATGCATACGAATAAAAGTGTTTAAACGTGGAGAAAGATGCGATTTGTAAGATAGTCTCGCTGAAATAATCAAATGAGCACAGCGACATTTGAGTGAACGTGTTCGTGTTAACCGCAACAAATCCCTGATTTCGACTGATTCTGTTCGTTCTTCCGGTAAAAGTCCATCACAATCGAGACAATCTGTATGTGCACCGGCTTCAATAAGCATTTTAATGATGGGCACAGCGCATTTGGCATCTGACGCATATGCAATTAGATGCAAAGATGTCCAATCATTGTATTTCATCACTTCATTCACATCTGCACCACATTGAATCATAAAACGAATAAAATCTTCAGGTGAAATCCTTAAATATATTTAAAAAAAAAGGTACAACATGACTTATCATTATTCTATTCGAAACAAAACTGAACTAGTTATTTTTTGAAAATCTATTAATTACGTAAAAGGCAAAAGATCAAATGACTATTTGGCTTGATACACTGTGTTAAACGATAAATGCAACAATAAGCAAAGAGTCTGCTAAGCAGTTGAACTGTATCGTCACTTTCAAAACGTTAGAAACTCACTCGTTGAATGGCGAATTGAAATTCCATCTGCTCGACATAATGGCATCATGAATAAGATTTGTGTAGTTACAAACTGTTATGAAATCGCGACGCACTGCTCGCTGTACAAAACGAACGAGTATGCGCTGTTCATCATTCTTAATCATGTTTTTCTTGATAAGCTAAATAAACAAGAATAGAAACGTCATTATTTTTTTTTAAACATCTATCGATAAAAATCATGTCTTTCATTTGATCGAGTAATTATCTTTCATCAAATATTTATGAATTTATTCTCGAGAGTTTTATTTAGCTAGACATTTATTCAATTATTGTAGAAATGTACTTAACATTTCATTGGTATTTTATTTATATGATTAATACTTACTAACTTCAAATTTTTAGTCAATAAATATAGATAGTTCTTAGAAAAAGATCTCAGGCATCTAAGTGTTTGGGTAAAAGAATATACAACATTAAAGGAGTACATTGGAGTTTCTAAATCTAAAATAAAAATGTTTTCAGATATCACTGAATATTATCTTTTCGATTTGATGTTTCTCAAATTCATTCTGATTGTCCAATCAAATTCAATTTCGGCATATTCTTAGATCAAAATCAAGTTTTCATTGAAATATACGTACGTATGCTATACAAATGCATAGATAACAGACTTCTGAAACGTTGCGCAACTTGTCAAAGATACATTCAAATATATACATCATTTTGCTAAGCAATACGGAGTCGTCTCGTAAGATAAGTTGACGAAATATCTCCTGTAGTCGTGATAAACAAATTTGATCCCAATGTTTGACCGAATTTTCTTTGCATGATAAACTTAAATTATAAGCATATACCAACAATAATATACATCGATCAATTTGGTCTCTTTGTTCATATATTTTTAAAACATATTCAATCAGAATTGAAACAAGAATATGCGTCTCGCTACGTGATGGAAGTAATCGTTCATAAACTAATAGGGCTTGCATCATCATGGCATCTTCATCATTTCGAATAATCATCAGTTCATCAAGTGTTTGGCATTCGCTTCGAAATTCATAGACTTCACATGGAATAGCATTTGAAATTTGTGGTTGTAATTCTAATGCTTGTTGAAAACAATTGAATGCTTCTTCTATTGAACTGAATCCAAATGGATATGGAATTTGATAATAGCAACCTAATAACATGATCTCATCGATGAATTGCTGACGTGGCAGTGCGTTGAATAGAAGATTCACAATGTTTGTGTCATGATATTTAACTGCGTTCATTAAGGGAGTGTAACCATAATTGTCTTTTTGATCATGCGTATGTCCATATTGAAGTATCAACTTAACACATTCCTCATTTTGAAAATAAATAGCAGTATGCAAGGCAGTTTGTCCTATATCATCGCGTAAAGTCGGATCACCACCATACTCCAAAATAGTTTTGATGATTGCTGATGCTTCATGCAGAAACTCAATAGCATAGTGCAGCGCATAGAATGTTTTCTGACCTGAGTACCAATAGAAATCTATGCAAATAAAACATAAACATTATGATAGACAGTACTAACGTTGCTGGATGAACTCATGCGCATTAATTATTAAGTTTAATCTAGTAGAAAGCAGATCAATTTTTAGAAAAACTTTAGTTAGTAAGTGTACATCAATTAAGAAATGTTCTTATGCCTTATAAGATGCTTTGAGGTATTTGGCTTCCTTTAGAAAATGTCATTTTCTGATCAATATATGTAAATGAAGTGTTATTTTTTAATAATCTTCCTTACCATCTCGATTAAAATTGTCGTCGTCCATAAGGCGAGTATTCGGGTCACATCCTTTGCTTAATAAGTAATCTACTATTTCATTGCTGCCATCTTTGAGCGCTTTGAAAAGATCGCGGCTTTCATCGATGATTGCTTCCGTTTGCTCTAACAAGTATTTGACAATATGTACATGTTTCATCGAAATAGCAGCTCGAAGTGGCGTCCAATTTTCTCCATCAGAAAGATTCACGTCTGCATGACCGACTTCAATTAGAACGCGTACAACATTCAGATGTCCATTATAGCATGCAAGCCACAATGCAGTTCTGCCAGTTCCAATGAAACAATAGCCACAGTCACAATAGATGTGATTCCACAAACGACAACTAGTGTTGCCATTGAATTGTCCATAATCTTCGAATTTACAATTAACATCAGTGCCGAAATGTTTATCAAGAAGCAAGTGAACATATTCATCATGTCCTGCCTCAGCCGCACACATAAGTGGTGTTATTGATGGACTCGACTGTCTACAATAAAGTGATATCAAATATTTTTTAGCTATAATTTCATGCGTAGTTTACGGAAGAAAGTTTCACAAAATCCATCGTGACTAACTGTTAACAATCATATTTTTGTATTCTATATGTCTAGGAATTTTTAAATTACAAATGAAGTTTTTTCACTTTAGCAAAAGAAAGGCTTTCATATGTTTGCGAATTCCTCGAAAGATATTTTTGATAAGAAAACAAGAATAAAAAATGATCTCTTATGTTACAATTCAATTAACACTACTGTACCTGTCGCGATATCTGAACGAGTTCATGTACTTTTCTATTGGATCACGGATAATGTACAATAAGAAATTATCGAATGTGTCAAAATCATTTTGTTGAATGGCAGTGCACAGTTTATAGACGATATATTCGTCCTGATTATAGAAGTAATGGTCACACTGATCCAACGAATCCTCATAAGAAATCTCGGCAATGCAATTTTTGTCGTCCAACCATTTTCCAACAGCAAGTCTAGAACGAGTTGTGTTAGGTTGAACTGATAAACAGTTTCGTTGAATATTTGGTTGCATCACCCGGTGTCGTTGCCGTTTTTCAAATGGAATCTTATGCTTGCGTAAATGAACTCGATTATCCTTACCACGGTAGTCATTTGTTATGTTACTCATGTTTTTTGATGACTTATTGTAAAATAATAGTCGAACGAATATATATAGGCATGATATTACTGAGTACTTTCGTAAAAAAGAAGAGAGGAAGAAAAATAAATGAGTCATGGTTTGCGTGGTCATATCTCTTGTAAAAATCCTATTAGCGAAGTCTGAAATTTTACAATGATTGCTTGCGTTAAACAATATTTTATCCGATCGTCTGTCAAGTTTCGATTCGTCCGAAGTCACTTGTTCACATAACACTCTCGAGCATAATTTAAATTTTTGGTGAAGGTTTCTATAGTATCTTTCAAAGACTAATATACAGTGCAATGAAGCAAAATCAAAGCTTTGTCAAGTCTCACTGACGCCATCTATACTTGAAACAACATTTTTTCTTCACTTTTGTTGTTGTGAAGATCAGTGTCCGAATTTCAAATTGTGTATTCGAACAATATCTTTTTCAGCAGTAATCTAAGAAGACAAAATTTTTACAAATAAAAAACCTCCTAGAAATTAATGGAAGACATTGGCAACTCAAAAAAGCTATATTTCTGAAATATTTTAGACAATAAGAAGCAAATTGTCAGAAGAAAAATATATCAACAAGTTAATGGAAGTGGGAATGATTGTTGGCCTTCTTTTCTTCCATATCAGTACTCATACTCACCCTTTTTTTTAAACGATGCGCTTGTGAAGTCACCTGCCGTTCCATGAAATGAATTTTGAGTTGCCTTGCATTAATAATTAAGGTCTTTTGCTGATTTATACCATTCGTCAGTAGATATGGATTCTTTTTTCTTTGTTCATTATCGTCTACATGAAGGACTGAAAAAACATAGTACCAGAAATACAAACTTTTTTTCTTTTGTTTTCTATTTTAGTCGTATTCATTACTTTCATTAATCTATAATTTGATAAACACTTTTGTTTCTTTGTGTATTTTTATACTTGTTTACATGATTTCAAAGTAAATATCTTCGACATTCAAATCATGAATATTGATTATATTGTTGAAACAGCAATAAATTATCTACTGTGAAGCTTAATCTTGCTCACTAGCAACCACATAATGCATATACTTTTCTAAAAAACTCATTCATATGCTTTAGTTCCTGTCAACCAAAATCTATACATGCAAGCAAGCAAGGATACAAATAAGTTACTGGTCTATCAGAATTATCATGTATTTTTAATATCTTCTTCCACTGTTATTTTTAAACATGATTAAAAAAAATTTGACAATATCTAATGCAATATGCGTGTGCGTAGAGATGTGAGCAACGCTACACTAAGATTATACGAGAATAAAAGCGGCGGCTACAAAGTTTACCAATTTTCAAGTACATTATACACTAACAACATATTACAATAAAACCAATGTTTTCACTTTTTTTTGCATCGATCTTCCGTCAAGAAAAAGATCTATCAAATAGTTATCAGCCAGCATGAGATTATATGGATATGACACGAAACTGACTGATAGTATTGTAAAAGCAGAATTTAAAAATAATGTATGAATTCTCGCAAAAAAAAGGTTTCGATTAATCAGAGCTAGTTCTTTTGTGAGAGGGACGAATTTCCAGGCAACTGATCACCAACTGGTTCGTTCCATTAATCATTCGCAAAGAGCGTATGTAGGTGATCGCTATAGGGTGCTTCATGTAACGAACACACGCATACTTGTGATTTTCGCTCTTGTCTGTCCTTCAGTGATGTTGATAGTTACCTGTGTGGATACAAAATTTGTGTAATATTTCGATAACGAAAGAAAATATTGACATTGCTACGAGGATTCACATGTGCGTGTCGCATTTCGTTGATCTTGTTGTCAATCAGAGTATTCAGTAGTGTGTATACACATGTATATTTCATGATCAGAGAATGAGTGAAAAAGTAAATTGTCAATATTCACTGTCATGCTTATTTTTCTTTGCTCTCTCTCCTATAGTAATACTGTTTGTCAATTCATAGAGCAAATATAATTTTTATTCATTTCTGTCAAACAATCCGTATTCTATACATATCTGCATCGAGATTGAGAATAAAATAACGCATACAAGTCAAGCTTTTTACCCTCAATTTTCATCACCATGCACATTGTATTTCGTCTTTTGTTGATCGTTGCACTAGTCGCCGTTCTCGTTCACAGTCAGGGTTCGGGTGGCGGAAGTCGAGGTGGTGGAAGTCGAGGTGGTGGAAGCCGGGGTGGTAGCAGCTACAGAGGTAAATATTTCATTTCAACTATGAATTTTCTTGAGAAAATATCGATTTTAGGTAGTACAAATCGTGGAGGTAGTTGTCAAGGTTCACAGTGTCGCTTAGCAGGAATTATTGCAGGCAGTGTAATAGGTGGTATATTCGGTCTAATCGCAATCATCTTGCTTACTATATTTTGTTGTCGTCGATATCGTAATCGATCTACAGAATTGCATACAAGTTTCGTCGATAAGAGTTCTACAGATGGACGTAATAGAACTTATCAAACGTATGAAGAAGACTGCTTCAAAAATGGAGACTGGCAAAGTCGATATTATCAATATGGTCAATGGCATGGGCCACATCGAATGTCACTAATATTCGATCGTGCTGCAAGCCAAGTGACTGGAAAGGGATACGATCATGTTGGAGATTTTACCGTTGACGGAACATTTTCTGTGGAGAAACAACATATTACTCTGACTAAAACCTATGCATTAGGTACTGGTGATGCCAAAGAAAACTTCGGACATACAGTAACTGTGGAATTAACGTGGAATTCGAGTCATGCTCGATTTGAAGGCAAATGGTTTGTCCAAACCAATCATTATCGTGGTGAAGATAAATTCGAGTTGAAATTCGGAGACTGATCAGAAACCTTTCTAGAGAACAGGGGCAATTAAAATACTTTCCTTTGTATTGTTTGATTGAGATTATTTCGACATTTTTTCATGTATACTTTCATACTAATAAATCGTTCTCGAGTATAATTCATATGAAGTCTGATTCATAGTTATTATATGGTGAGAAAAGAACATGATTGCAGAAATTAATAAAGAGAATGCATACACAGTTCGATTTTGGGGTGTGGGTGTGGTTTTGGACTTTCTGTTCACACTCACAAGTCCACATTCTCAAGAAATAAACCATGGAATCATTTTTTTTTTCTTGCTTTTGTATTATTCCTGTATCTGACTAGTAACTCATGGAGATGGAGATAAAGGTATATAATAAATTTTTTCAAACAGTGAACGTCGGCTGGAAAACTTCATTTCCAACCCAAAATACACAATGATTTTTTTTGCTTAAACAGAACACTGTTAGTCATTCTGTCAGACATCAACTGTCTGGATTCTCTCATCGAGCAAATTGGCATTGCTTGAAATACCACTAGAACTTGCAGAAAAACAAAACAAAACGAATTTTTTGAAAACGGTCAAGACACATAGCGTAATCACAAGTTTGTTAATTAAGTGTGAAATAAACTTTTGAAAATCTTGATCATCTTAGTACTTGAGATTATCACATAAATACTCTCAGTTGGTTTTAAAGTAAATAGATTTAGCACTGTATTTATAATAAGAAGATCGATAGTTAGAGAAGACGTTTGCTATCTCATATTTGATTTCTATTATCTTTTGAACAGAATAGATAACAATTATTCGTTATTTTTTTTTTTTTATTAAATCGAATCAAAACGGAATTTAATCAAAATAAACTTAACACAAATTTTTTGTTGTTCCCTTACGTAATTTCGACAATCAGAATGAAAATAAAAACAAATAAGTACATAGCAGCAAGTAGTTTCGATTTATCGACCTCTGAGTTATGAGCCCAGCACGTTTTCACTGTGCCACGATTCTGCTTAATGATATTCTCCTTCTTCAATTAAATCTCATCATTAATCTATAAAACCTATATATATCGAATATTCTTTTCCTCTTAAAACAAAAGTGAAAGTATAATGATACTAATTACAGAACTCTAACACCTATATACTCTTTATTCTATTGCTCTTCTATCATATCTTGTGAGCTTTTCTGAATAATTTTTCAATAAGTACAGTCTCTACTATGAAAGGTTTTAAAAAGTAGTTAAATCATGAGAAAATCTATTTAGTTAAATTGAAGAGAGGGTACTTCCACGCAGGTCCTCCCACTTTTACATCGACATTCTGCCGGCAAGATTTAAGCACGCTAGTTTTGTAGCCCTCGTTGAGTTATGTAGAAAATAGTATTCAGTTTCGACTCAAGTTATGCGCTAACAGCAGCAGAGTAGGTCCAAAAGTCGATTTTATCAGAAAATAGCCCCCAAAATCGGTCTGTTTTATTCTTCATGGGCATTCCTTGGAATTTTTGATTTCACCATTGGATAGAGCATAAAAAGTTGTCTATATAAAATAATTTTCAGAATTATATCTCTAGAACTCATTGTTTGGAAGCATTTGCAAATTTGGAAAAAATGGCACTTTATGCTTAAATTGAATTGCTTATAAAATTTATACATTCAATTAGAGACCCCAATATATTATAATCAAAATGAAGCTTATACTATTTTTATTCAAACGCACTATGCCAAGTTTCTTCAAAACATTCTAAACTCTAGACAAAGAGGTCTAAAGGGGATGGGGGTCCCAAAAATCGTCATGTTGGGACCCGGCTTTCTCAAAAACTACACGTCAGAATTTCTTGAATTTTGTTTTCTGAATAGACCTAAGTGGACACTACTAGTGATTAAAATATTAGACTTCCCCTTTCAGAATTGTAGGAGATAGAGCTCTTTCAAGTTAGCCCAAAATTCGGTGTTTTTGAAGAAATCCCTGTGGGGGACCCCAGGTAGTCGGAAAAATTGTATTTTCGAATTTTGACCCGAAACTTTCCGTACACAGAGGCCTCATCTAGACTAACTTNAATCTCAACTGCATGGGAAAAGCTACTGACTATTACGATGAGCGTGATTCGAAAGACAGAGTAGAACACAGCTGGAAGTCGACACAACATCGGTTCAAATTCCGTACCCACCAACAAGATCTCGCCCACTTTCGTCATTACATCGAACAAGGTAGTACAAACCGAGTGAAGATACATGTTATCAATGATTTGTTTATGACAAGTTTGAAGAAGGTCGAGACGCTCTTCTTTCTGTACATGATCGGGATCTGAAACGGTGGGCACTTCGAAAAGCTGCAGATAATTCTGTTCTTACATTTGAAGTATCTGGATATTAGCAGCGAGTCTTCAAAGATTGCCACCATATTTGTTCGAGAAAACTCACGAAACTAGTGATCCATCATCATGGCGAAAATTCTAATGCTATCATTACATCGGCTGATTCGTTTTTAGCCGATGTGAGACGGGAGATGAATGACTCTGTATCTGAAGAAATTTTCAATACTGATCAGATTGGGCTGGAACTTGAACGTCAATCGACTAGAACACTCTGACATGAGATTGAAAATGTTACGTTGGCTCGTGTGAAGTCAATGAATGCCACAACGCACTCGTAAACTATTAAAAAAGTGATATGTCTTTCTGGAAAACTCGTCGGTCCCGTTTTTCTTTGCTTGAGGGAGCCAAAGTGGAAGATGAGCGACAGTGACTTGACCCATTTCATGTTTCTTGTAGAATAAAATGATATGTCCTTTATTAGATATCAAAAATACATTTTTTTCTGCCCTGAACATTGCTGTTACATGTAGTTCTCCAGGGAAGCTCACCATCTCATTGATGGAATACAGAAGGGATTACGTCCTTCCCACGTTTCCTCCAGCGAACCTTCTCTTGCTCTCGGATTATTGGTTCGATTAGTGAAATTCAACTATATACGCTGGCTTCAAAGCATGTAAAAGACTAGAAATACCTGCTCCTACTACATTGCGCATTCAACCATTCGATGTTTATTTCAATAGACAATTGAAATTGATTGCTCGACGTATTTTCGATCATAGTCAACTCGATGATATTGCCATGAACTTATGTGAACGAAACAATATAATACGCTTAAATTCTCTAATTCATAGCCAGCTGTCCTCATCTCTGCTCATACCTATGGTAAAGTATTCATGGTTCACAGCAGATGGCGTTGATTAACATCCAGAAGATATCGAGTCTATCAACAAAATATATTTTAATCTCGATGATAGCTTTTGTGAGCAGTCGAACTGTCACTTGCTGCCCTTTATTCAATGCAGTTACTGTCGTAAATTTCTGTGCTTCGAGTATTTTGTCGAAGCTTATCACTATCATACATGAATATTTTCTATCGATCTCCTTGATCGCAACATTTCGTTATAACTAGTACAAAAATAATTCAATGTGTAACCGCTTTCATTTATGAAGAAGACTGATGTGGGCTATAACAATAACATAGTTTATCAGAAAACTTTTAGTTTACAATACGTTTTTGTTCGTGGTATGATGCAGTGACACATAATCAAAAACATTGTGTTACCCAAGAACTGGAAAATTCAATATCTCAAGGCAGGAAGGCCGTAGGACCAAATCCTTTTAGGATTATTCTAGTCTAGAAGTCGTCTCGATATTCCCAAAATATGAGCTCAAAAGCGGTGAATCACTTCGAATGGTTCCTTCATAAGCCTGGTGCATACCTAGGTAGATCATCACTTGGTAACAACAATCTAGAAGTGGCCTCCTTATAAAGGAATATCACACTTACTATCACTTCCGCTTACCAGGTAAGTGGTAAGTGTTGTAATTATCGAAAAATTATCGATATAGAACTGATAAATGATTATTTTAATTATTAATTTTTATTCTTGCGTGGTGATCTATACCACTTATCACTTACTGGTAATGGTAAGTGGAATATGACACCCCTATTGATGACCGATCAATTCGTTGCAACATTTGTATAACATACCAGATGATTATCCAGAGAGAGAAGTTAGATTCTATAAATGCAGTGGTGACTAGAGAGTAAATTATTTTATTTTCAAGAAATATATACAATTAAACAGATATTCATTTGTAACGTGATATTTTCAGCGACGTATTTTTCGTTGTTTGTAGAGATATAATATCTCTCGAAACAACTATGCTCTTATATACTCAATTCGTATATTTCAGAACAGAAAAGGTGTATAGCCTCATTAGTCAGAATCAACAAAAAAATCATTAACAGTAGTAGAGCTAGTTATTTGATCATTGTCTCAATCTATGTAGTCGAATTCAAGACATGCTCATATGATTGATCTATTTTCCAATGTATCTGATCATTTTTAAGACAAAATTCACGGAAGAGATTCCATTTTAGCTATTCAGTAACTTATTTTATTTCTCAACGCCAAAAGTATGACAAAATTCAATCAAAAAATTCGCGAATGATTGCATGCAGCAAATTAGTTGCGACAAATTGATGGTGTGGCGAATAGATTGTGACTAATTAGTTGCGATGAATAAATATGCGACGAATTAATGTAGCACCCTTTGATACATTTCTTTTCATAATTGCGAATAACTAAAAAGAGAAAAGAGAATGATTTATTTTTTTCTTGTATATATACAAAAAGAAATGATGATTAGTTTGAGTGAAAAGTATAAAAAAAATGAATCAATCACAGAAGAACATTATTCGTAAGTGAAATAAATCATTTACATTGATAGTGAAAGTGATTATTTTTTAGATAAAAGCATATCATCTACCATCATCCGAAATCAGTCCGAGAATTCTTATTTCAAATCACTAAAACTTTCACCAAGCGATTGTATAATACCACGCGAAGGTGTGTGGATATGCTGTATTTATTTTTACGACATCAAACAATGGCCATTTTATGGAAAAAAAGAGGATAATGAATTTATGAATGTCGATCGATTAATATCAAGTTTGACTAAGTTAGTTGAATATTATCCTTTTCTAACTGGTGTACGTAAAATAGAAGAAAAGGATAAAACAATATCGATCGTATTAGATGATGCCCAAGGTGGTATTATATTTAACTCGGTATCAATCAACATTCGTTTATGCGACTTGTCATTGTCGATTAACGAATATACGAGCACAATGGATTTGGACAAATCACTAGAGCTGACAAATAAAAATGATGTTAATGCACTGTTTCACGTTCGTCATACTCGTTTTCTGTGTGGTGGAGTAGCACTTTCAATACATTTAAACCATTCTGTTGGCGATGCTCATTCGTATTTTCAACTTGTTGGAGATTGGGCACGTATGTATCAAAATGTCGAATATCGACCAATCGTCTGTCACGCACGTTCTCTTCTCGAACTAACTGAGGTTGATAATGAAGTGGATAAACATTCTTGGTCAAGTTTCAACAAACAGAAAACTTATGTAGTGAAAGGAGATATATCTCCGCAGACCGAACAATCTGTAAAATCGATTGTAAAAATATTTCGATTCTCCGCCGATGAACTTGAACGAATGAAGAGAGAAGCAACAGCACACTTATTACCTGAGGTGGATCACGTATCAACATTTAATGTCCTCGCTGCACATCTCTATCGGCACGTTGCCCTTGCTCGTGATTCTTCACATTCATATATTTCAAAACTATACATTCCAGTCAACATACGTTCACGTCTTAAACAACCAATAATACCATCGACTTATTTCGGAAATGCTATCCTGCATTCTTGTTTAGAAACAGAATCTACAAATCTAATTCGTATAAATGATTTGGGTTTCTGGGCTAGTAAAGTTCATCAAACTGTTGCAACATTGACAAGCGACGAAATAAAAAGTACTTTGGCTTGGATTATCTCCCAACCGGACAAATCGAAGATTGTGTTTAACTTTCCTTTCGATAATACAGGTTTCTATATTACAGCATGGAATAAAATGGGCATGTATGTCAATTCTAATTTTGAATATGGTGTTCATCCATGTCGAATAACCTTGCCGTCTGAAGACTTATTTAATGGTGGAGCTTATTTGTTTTCTACGGAGAAAAACGATACTAGTATTGATCTCATTCTTATATTGGATCCGACGACTATGGAAAAATTAGAAAACAATCCTGACTTCAGAAAATACTGCTAATATATGTGTTTCATATATGTGAAAAAGGCTAATCTCTCTATGACAGTCATTATCATCATCTATATTCGTTCTTGCCGTCGAGCTCTTTCATCTTCATGTTTCTTTTTCGTTTCTTCTCTTAGATTACTCTTCTGGAAATAGTCTGCCATCAAGAAAGACCGTATAATGGTACTTTTAGAGTAAAAAGTCCTTATATACCAAGAATTAAGTTTTACAAGTTTTGAACAATTCTGATTAAGATGAAGATATTAATCCATATAAAGGAACATTTAAGAATTCCTTTATATGTAATTGTGTGATCTTTTTTTTTCATTGTGTCTTATGTATGTATAGTTGCATAGGCGGCGGAGCCATTAGGCCTGGGTAGGCGCGAGCCTACCCTAGCTTAGGAATGGAAAGGCTTGGGTAGGCTCGATTGAATGTAAAAACTGGACGATTAAAGTGTAAATTAATTATTTTACCCTATTATTTTCCAAGTGTTGTAAAAAGATGAATGCCGGCTTGCAG